AATAATAAAATTAATACATATATCAATACAATATTGAGAACGTTACCTAGCACTGCTCATAAACCATTTGGCTCGTTAAGTTGGCTGAATGATAGTTAGCATGTCCCTCGTGTTGTTGAAGCAGAGACTATCCCGGTCGGATCTTGTTTCAAGGTCGTACAATTACTAACTCTGAGGACCTGCAAAATCTAAAATTGATGTTTTAAAGAAGACACTGGAAATTCAACTTAGTAATAATTTATAAATTTTAAAAAGAAAATTTTAATTAGAGAATATGAACAAAAAACTTGAATAAGTACTGTTATCTTAAATGTGGTAATTGTAAGGTATTTATAACGTTTATTTATAATACCGTAAACATTTGTCCTTTTCCTGATGATGCACTCTACATCCGCTGGGTGGCTCCTCTCGGAAGGCTTTTCTAGGCTTGATATTGGGGTCATGGCTTATTTGTTGGCAATTTCTTAACAAACGTATAAGCAAACAAATTCATTTTTATTAGTTGATTTTGTTGTGTTATGTGGGAATTTTATTTTAAATTTATATTTATTGCTATATTCATTTTTTGTTTTGTGGAGGATTAAATAATTTTTGATAAAATTTTTTCCAATATTTGAAAGAAAAAAGATTTCATTTTTTTGGTAAATTGATAGAACCCATTATTTGGTATAAGTTTTATTGCTCTATTAATTTAAAATTTATAAAAATAATACAATGAGATTAATTGCTACTTTAAATAAAAAATATAATGAAGTGAAGTTTAAATTTTAAATAAATAACCAAATGTAAAAGAGTTTTTATTATTTAAGATTCAAATTAAATTTAAGATTTTTTAATTTTATTTATCTTATAGATAAAGTAATAATTTTAATATGAATTTATCTAATTTTTAGTTTTTGACTAACAATGAAAAATAATTAGATAATCACCATTTTAATTTAAAAAATTAAAATCTCTAAATAAAATTATAATTTAAAATTAAATTTAAAAAAATAAAATCAATTGTTAAATAAAAAAATTATGTAAACACTAATAAAATTTTAGTTTTCTTTTAATTTTTAAAATTTCATACATTTTGTACTTTGTTGGTAGTAAAATTTAATAAATAGAATTGATAGTATTGATAAATAGTATTGATTGATCATAAGGACTCTTTTTCTTTTTTTTGAACATTCATGAGAGCTTATATTATTTACTCAGTGATAATTTACATCAGTACATAAAAGATTATATAGCATTGTCGGTGGATTGATGGTCCAGTGGAAAGGGCACTTATTCTTAAAACATTGTTCAGCCACCCAATCAGCTACTGAGTTAACCTTCCTGCATACATAGTTAAACTCACAAAAAGAGAAAGGCTTGCACAGCTCCCATATGGATAGCACCAATGGTTCAATTTGCCAGGGCAAAGAAACCTTTTTGTTATTGACCTGCATGAGCTCCTTGCTATCAGATTCAAAAATGATTTCTTTAAGGCCGTTTCTAACTGCCCATCCTACTGCAGCTCGTAATGCAAGAGTTTCAACCATTAAAACAAAGCTAATTGATTGTTTGAAGGCAAGACCATCAACAAGAGTGCCCCTACTATTGCGACAGACCATAGCTAGTCCTACAACAGCATTTTTAACATCCACAGCTGCATCAATATTACATTTAATGATACCTTTTGGTGGTGGATTCCATCATTGTGATTTATCCTCTGATCCATCCGTAAGATGTAGCATTGGTGGAATGAGAGGGTCTTTACCATTTACTCTACTAAACTCAACTGCTAGAAACATGGCTTTTTGAACTACCATTTGCGGTTGCAATGTGTGGTCTTGAAAAGGACCAAGATTCCTGTTTTTCCAAATATACCAAAACAAACAAGCGGTTTCTTCCATTATATTTGGAAAAACCTTTTCCCACTGAGACGAAACAAAACTCCACCAGTTAACCAGCTCAAAAATAGATGAAATAGAGGGACGAAAGGCTAGTCGAGAGACAAACCAAGTTCGAGCAGCATATTGACAAGTGAACAACATATGGGTAATAGACTCATCATCCCCACCACAAAGACCACAAACGGGGCTCTCCACTATGCCCTTATGAAAAAGATTTGCCTTAACAGGTAAAGCATTAGTTATAACTTTCCATAAGAAAATTTTTATCTTGGGGGGAACACTTAACTTCCAAACTGATTTCAAAAAGGAGGGGAAAAGACTGACCTGGAAATTAGCTAATGGAAACAAACCAAAACCGTTCTTCCTTGTAGTTTGGTAAGCAGAGCAAACTGTAAACTCCCTATTCCTTGTATGCCATACTAATCTATCTGGAGAAGGGCCAGCTGGAACTTACACTATAGCTTTCACATCGTCAGAGCATAAAAGAACATTAAGCTTTTGGAAATCCCACCCAAAAGTTGGAGTTAACAAATTACATACCCTGATATTGTAGCCATGCTGTGGTTAGGGAGTTGAAACTTGAAATTCTTGCTTGGTAGGTATCCATTTGTGACCCCAAAGGAACACATTTTGACCATCACCAATGTTCCACCTCAATCCCAATTCTAAAAGCTCTCAACCTTGTAAAAGACTCTTCCAAATCCACGAAGGAGTGAAACCAAGCTTAGTCTACAAGAAATGGCCATGAGGATAATAAAAAGCATGCAAAAGCTTCACCCATAAACTGTTAGGATTGTGAATAAGGCGCCAACATTGTTTGGCCAAAAGAGATAGATTAAAAGCTTCAACATCTCTAAATCCCAACCCTCCACAATTTTTGCTTATAGATAGTTTCCCCCAACTCACCCAATGAATTCTGGATTCATCATCTCTTTGCCCCCACCAAAAGTTACTCATCAAACTATTTAATTGGCGACATACATTTTTTGGAAACTTAAAGCAGTACATAGCATAAGTAGGAATTTATTGGGCCACAGATTTTATCAAAACCTCACGGCCAGCTATAGATAATAGAGATTTTTTCCAAGTCTGCAACTTTTGCTTCACCTTCTAAATAACAAAATGCAAACCCTGTTTTTTGGATCTTCCCCAACTGGTGGGGAGGCCCAAATACTTATCCACAGGTGAATCACAACGAATAGAAAATAAAGAGCATATATTAGTCTTTAGCAAAGGAGAAGTATTTCTACTAAAAAGGATTGTAGACTTGGAAAAATGAATGTGCTGACCCGACATTGCACCATACGAAGAGAGCAGCTCTTTTAAGGATGAAGCTTGATTGATAAAAGCCTTACAAAAAAGTAATGCATCATCAGCAAATAGCAAATGGCTGATAAGGGGGCACTGCCTTGTTATACGATACGCATATAGGGAGCCATCTCTCACTGCCTGAGCTACAAGTTTAGACAAAACATCTATCACTAGCAGATATAAATATGGGGACAAGGGATCTCCTTGTTGAAGCCCTCTCCCAGGGAAAAAGGATTTAGTGGGTTTACCATTGATTAGAATTGAATAAGAGGTGGATCGAACACACTCCATTACTCTAGCAACCCACCAGTCATAGAAGCCCATCGCCCTAAGCACCTATTCCAAGAATAACCAATCCACCGTGTCATATGCTTTATGGATGTCTAATTTGAGTGCAATATAAGCATCCTGAGAATAACATCTATGAGCAAGACCATGGAATGCCTCATGCGCAACAACAAGATTGTTCTGAATCATTCGGCCGGGCACAAAAGCAAATTGCTCCGGAGAGATTATTTGAGATAGAAAAGGCTTCAATCTATTCACCATTATCCTAGAGATAACTTTAGAAATAAAGTTGCATAAAGATATGGGGAGATATTGAGAGAGGGTTCTAGGATTTTGGACCTTTGGTATGAGAACAATATTCGTCCTATTGAACTCCTTCAGCAGAAAACCCGTTGTCCAGAATCTAGTTATAGCTCTATGACCATCACCACCAACCAAGTCCTAATGCTTTTGGTAGAAAACTCCAAGGAACCCGTCTGGACCTGGTGCCTTGAAGGCTCCTAATTGGAATACAGCATCCTGAACCTCCTCAAATGCGATGTCCGCACAAAGAGAGTTATTCATGTCTGATGTGACCATAGGAGGAAAAGAAAACAAAACATTCGTATCAATAGTTGCAAGGCAAGGTTGGAACTGAGAGCTCAGGCTTTGAAAACTATATGTTGAAATCTCCTCCTCGCTCTACAACAATTGCCCTGCATCATTCTGAAGCTGAAAATTTTGATTTGTATTCCGCCTCCTAGAGGTTGTGTAGTGGAAAAAGCTTGAATTCCTATCCCCATGCTTTATCCAATTCACCCATGACCGTTGGAACCAATAAGCTTCTTCCTTTGCCCACAAATCATTCAATTTCTGAATTAGCATTTGCTGTTGCATCATATTAACACCATTTGGTTCTTGATTTTGCAAAAAAATCTAACTGTTCACGCAAAGACTTAATTTCCCCCTAGGGATTGCCCCTTAGCTTCTTACTGCATGCAAGTAGATCAGCTCGACAATTCTTCAATTTACCCAAAACTTTATACTGCTCTGAACCAGTAACATGTGCCTACCAACCATTCTGGATACACTCTTGATAACCATTCTCCAGAGTTCACTTCAATTCAAAACGAAACAACTTCCGAGGAGTTGGGAAAAGCATTAGAGCACAAAATCAATGGACTATGGTCTGACCCGATCTTAAGCTCATGAAGGACTTGTGCATGAGGATAACACCTAAACCAGTCTAGATTTTCCAAAGCTTTATCAAGACGATGTTGAACATTTGCAGGGCCTAATCTGCTATTAGTCCAGGTATAAGGATTGCCTTTAAATCCAATTTCCTGCAACTCACAACAATCCATAAATTGTTCCAGGCAGGAAAAGGAGGATGCCGAGATTGAAACCTTCCCCCTTTTATCAGCGTAACTCAGCAAAGCATTTAAATCCCCCATAACTAACCAAGGGGTTCCATCATCTCTTCTTAAACTTTGACAATCTTCCCAAAATCTAGCCCGTTCTCCTTGCACTAGGCAACCATATATAAAGGAAAAGTGCCAGGAAGTAGAGCAGGAGGGCTCAAGGCATGAACCATCAAATAAATGTTCATTCTTGACAAATACCTGCACTTGAAGCTCTTTTGTCCACCACAATGCTAGACGGCCAGCTCTCCCCCGTGGTGGAAAATATTCACCATGATCAAAACCCAACCGCCTTTGATGCTTCTCAAGAAGTGGTGTTTGCTGCTTAGTTTCACAAAGGAAAACCAAGTCAGGTCAATACTTGAAGCACAGATCCCGCAAATTACGTCCTTGACAGTTCCAACTCAATACCTTCATAGCTTCAAGAGAGAGGCACAAAACTGAAAGAGAAAAGGATCAAAAGACCTGAGTAGGAAAGAGGGAAAATCGAAGATAACAAGAAGAAACCAGACAAGACGCCGGATGAAATAAACGATCGGAGCACAAATGACTTAGAAAACTCTAGAAGCTCCATGAGCTTCAGAGAACTCCATTGCCACATAATGACTCTTTTTCTTGAGTAAAGGAGAATGTAAATTTGAGATAAAATCTAGATTTACTTGAATTATACGTATAATTTTATGAGAAAAGAGTATATTAATATAGATTTTTAAAATGAATAAAAATTTTAATTTTAAATAATATTATTTTATTTAATTAAAATTTAATTTAAAATTTAAAAACTTATCTTTTTATTAGTATATTTAGGTTAATGGGAATAGAGAAGAAGAAAAAAAATTTTAAATCAGTTAAATTATAACATTTAATGTTGATATTTAAATTTAAAAATTAATTATATTAGAATATATAATCACTTTTTAAATTTAGGTATAACTTTTAATAAGGTAAATTTTTAAACTTTAAATTAAAATTTTAATTTTTAATTATAAATTAGGATTCTAATTTTTTTAGTCATAATTAATACACATTATCCTTTAATTTTATTGTGTTTTTCTGATTTTCTATTTATTTAACTAATTTTTTACAAATAATAAAGGTTTAAAGTTAATTGTCGTCCCTTCACTTTCATATTTTATTCGTTCTTCACTACTAGAAAAATGATTAATTCAAACCGATCATATACGGACCGAATCATGTCGGTCCGTATAAATATATATTCAGACCAATATCGGTCCTAATATATTGGGTGTTACCAAATCCATTAATCAAAATATTCGGATCGGTTTCAGTCTGTATATTTATGGCGGGAATTAACAGTGCAAACGCACCAATAATATTCAGGCCAAAGACAATCCGAATATTTTTTAGGTAAAAATAAATATTAAATAACAAAAAATTAAATATTAAATATTATTTAAATGAATATATATGGACCATAATCGGTCGGTATATATCATTAGCAAAGTGCCGAGATTCATTGAATATACAGACCATTACCAGTCTAAATATTTGTAATATACAGACCGAAATTGGTCTGAAAATAAGAGTTAGAGATTCCCTGAACCGATGAGACGTTGGGGCCCATTGCTAGATTTATACGAACCGATATCGGTCCTATAAGGTTGCCTACAGCCTTTGATGAGCTAAATTTATATGCATATTAATAGGGAATTTTTACTTTGATATTATTGATATTTGGATGAGTTTTATGGGATTTTGTTTGATTTTACATGGTTTCCATTCTTTGTGTAGGAAAGGATTTAATTGGAAGAAATTCTACTTTTTAAAAGTAAATTAAAGAGATCAGAGACTTGAGGATCAACTTGTGCATAATCCAGAAGTCAAGAACCAAATCTGCTATTTTACCATTAAAGAAATTGCAAAAGGAGACCAGAAACCCGACACGGGTGTAGTGTTGACACATGATCGGGGTGTCGACACCATGCGTTAAGAATCAGATTCTGTTTCCTAGTTTGTGTCAACACGTAATCCGAAGTGTCAGCACCACGCGCTCAGCATTTAAAATTCAGTTTCCTATTTCTATTCCAAGTCCTACTTCTATTTCAATTAGGGTTTCTAAAATCCTATAAATACCCATCTAAATTCATAATTAAAGGAGAGCTTTGGGAGGCTGGTGGCAGTTTTCTTTTGGGCACTCTTGGAGGTCAAGATAGAGGATTTATCAAGGAGAAGATCAAGGATTTCAATTACCTCAAATTATGTTTTGTTTTTCCTTAGACATTCTTATGTTCATAATTGTGATTTCAGATTTTATTATTTTTATTATGAACTGATTTATTTTATTAAAGCTATGATGTAGCCTAATCAATTCAATATAGATTTTGTGATTTTATACTTTCAATTAAAGTTATTCGCATAAGGAGTTTATATTATTGAACTTAATGCATTGGAAGTTTGATCATCTTTCAATTGATTTAGTGATTTATGCATGAACTTGAGAAAGAATTGCGTAGATTAGACCAATAATAATATAAACCGTGTGCTAGACTATGAGACCGAGAGGTAATTAGCTCACATGTGGTAGTGGAGGAAGAGAAGAGAGTTAGAAGCTCCCCCTTCTTAAGCTGGAGGTTTCCATAGAATTTAATGCTCATAAGTTTGTTTAAAATTACATAGAGATATGATTAATTTAACAAACAAGTGAAGGATTAGCTTGACTTGAGAAAGCTAGTTAATTAATTTAGGGAAATCCGCCATCACATGCAATAACATTCAACAATTTGGTAATCCAGAATTTATATTGATTGATTATGGTGAAGTCAATGCCTTAATACCTCATATCTTGGTTAATTTTATTTTAATTGTTAGTTTCTTTTTGTTATTTTCTTTTTATTATTTTCAATTAAACTTTCTTCCCATTTGGTTGTTTAAATAAATTTGAATTAATTATTTTGGTACTTAGTTAGACACAATCCTCGTGGGTTCGACACTCTTCTCATCATTATATTACTTGGAGCGACTAGTACACTTGCTAGGGTGATTTTAGTAAAAAAAGTGATGGACTAAAATCACCATAACAAGTGTACTAGTCGCTCCAAGTAATATAATGATGAGAAGAGTGTCGAACCCACGAGAATTGTGTCTAACTAAGTACCAAAATAATTAATTCAAATTTATTTAAACAACCAAATGGGAAGAAAGTTTAATTGAAAATAATAAAAAGAAAATAACAAAAAGAAACTAACAATTAAAATAAAATTAACCAAGATATGAGGTATTAAGACATTGACTTCACCATAATCAATCAATATAAATTCTGGATTACCAAATTGTTGAATGTTATTGCATGTGATGGCGGATTTCCCTAAATTAATTAACTAGCTTTCTCAAGTCAAGCTAATCCTTCACTTGTTTGTTAAATTAATCATATCTCTATGTAATTTTAAACAAACTTATGAGCATTAAATTCTATGGAAACCTCCAGCTTAAGAAGGGGGAGCTCCTAACTCTCTTCTCTTCCTCCACTACCACATGTGAGCTAATTACCTCTCGGTCTCATAGTCTAGCACACGGTTTATATTATTATTGGTCTAATCTACGCAATTCTTTCTCAAGTTCATGCATAAATCACTAAATCAATTGAAAGATGATCAAACTTCCAATGCATTAAGTTCAATAATATAAACTCCTTATGCGAATAACTTTAATTGAAAGTATAAAATCACAAAATCTATATTGAATTGATTAGGCTACATCATAGCCTTAATAAAATAAATCAGTTCATAATAAAAATAATAAAATCTGAAATCACAATTATGAACATAAGAATGTCTAAGGAAAAACAAAACATAATTTGAGGTAATTGAAATCCTTGATCTTCTCCTTGATAAATCCTCTATCTTGACCTCCAAGAGTGCCCAAAAGAGGACTGCCACCAGCCTCCCAAAACTCTCCTTTAATTCTGAATTTAGATGGGTATTTATAGGATTTTAGAAACCCTAATTGAAATAGAAGTAGGACTTGGAATAGAAATAGGAAACTGAATTTTAAATGCTGAACGCGTGGTGCTGACACTTCGGATTACGTGTTGACACAAACTAGGAAACAGAATCTGATTCTTAACGCATGGTGTCGACACCCCGATCATGTGTCGACACTACACCCGTGTCGGGTTTCTGGTCTCCTTTTGCAATTTCTTCAATGGTAAAATAGCAGATTTGGTTCCTGACTTCTAGATTATGCACAAGTTGATCCTCAAGTCTCTGATCTCTTTAATTTACTTCTAAAAAGTA